CCCACCCAATCGGAACGCAGCCAAGCCCCCACCCAGTCAAGTCACACACCCACTGGCAGTTAGAAGGAAGAAGCAGCTGAAAGCTCACATCACTCTGAGAAGCACAGAGCCGAAGAAGCAAGCCTGAAGATGATGAATGAGACTTCATCGAAACATTGCCTAGATACTTTGAATCTTACGCAGGAGAAAACCCGAATAACCAAAGATCCACATACAAATACCCGCGAGAACCTCAGAAAATATATATATATATATATATATATAATCCAAAAATACCTACAGACCAAAAATATCTACAGAAGTAAATTTCAAAGCTAAAACACACAGCTGCTTTGAAGACAAAGGAATGTTTCTTTTCAGTGTTATTGACTACAATATTAATTTCTGCTTTGCCGATTAATTGTAAGACCACTGATACAAAAATAATTTATTAACCAATACATTGTTTAAAATCAAAGTAATGTATAAAATTATAGAAACATATAATCACTTCTCTAATTAAGAATTCTCTGAAGAAACTAAAAATGAACACATTCAAATAGAAATTAAAAGTTAATTAGTCCTTCATGAATAATTTTGATACCCTATTTTACTCCCTTAACTTTGTTTCATTAACCTGCATGCATGCAGGTATTTTTAACTTCAGCATAATGAAGCTAGGGAATTTCTGTGACTTTCATTAAGTGTAAGCAATATTTGTGTCTCTTTAAGAAATGATTCATCATTTATTTTTATTTTGTGAAAAGGTTAGTATGTTGGAATAAAAAATCGATCAGAGGAGTATATTTTTCATGGCCAATGCAAAAAAAGTGGTATCCACTACAGAGGTTTTCACTTTAGAAAACCTGATCAACTGTCAGGAAGATTCATTGAAAACAATCCCCACACCTATCCCCAAAGTGTAACCTTTTGTGGCCATCTTCTGTGGAATAAAATAAATATTAACAGTATAACAGAGTTAGAAGGGACCTTGGAGGTCTGTTAGTCCAATCCCCTGCACAGGCAGGAAACCCTATACCATTTCAGACAAACCTCTTCTTAAAAATGTCCAGTGTTGGAGCATTTACAACTTCTGGAGGCAAGTTATTCCACTGATTAATTATTCTAACTGTCAGGAAATTCTCCTTATTCTAAGCTGGTTCTCTCCTTGATTAGTTTCCACCCATGGCTTCTTGTCCTGTCCTCAGGGGCTTTGGAGAATAGGTTGATCCAGTGGTGGGATTCTATTTTTTTTACTACTGGTTATGTGGGCATGGTGTGGCTTGGTGGGTGTGGCAGGGGAAGGATACTGTAAAATCCCCATTCTCTCCCCACCCCACTGACCTGCTTTCCAGCTCCATTCTCCTGTGCATGGCAACCAAAGAAGACCCAGCCAATCAGCTGGGACTCATGAGGCAGAGAATAGATGGGGCGGGGCCAGTCAGAGGTGGGATTTGCCGGTTCTCCGAACTACTCAAAATTTCCGCTATTGGTTCTCCAGAACTGGTCAGAACCTGCTGAATACCACCTCTGGGTTGACTCCCTCTGCTTCGTGGCAACCCCTGAGATATTGGAACACTGTTATCATGTCCCTCCCAGGCCTTCTTTTCATTAAACTAGGCGAACCCAATTCCTACAACTGTTCTTCGTATGTGTTAGCCTTCAGTCCTAATAATCTTTGTTGCTTTTCTCTGCACTCTTTCTTCTTTATATTGTGGTGACCAAAACTGCATGCAACGTTCTAGGTTTGGTCTTACCAAGGCATTAGAAAGAAGGCAAGAGAAGAAGAGAAAAAGAAAAGAATTTCTGTAACCGTTCTTCGTATATATAGCCCACAGCTCTCTAGTCATTCTTGTTGCTCTTCTCTGTACTCTTTCCAGACTCTCAACATCTTTTTTATATTGTGGTGACCAGAATTGTATGCAGTATTCCAAGTGTGGTCTTACTAAGGCTTTGTAAAGCAGTATTAGAACTTTGTGTGATCTTGATTCCTTCCCTCTATTAATGCAGCCTAGGACTTTGTTGGCTTTTTTGGAAGCTGCAGCACACTTCTGGCTCATATTTAAGTGACTGTCTACTAGGACTCCAAGATCCCTCTTGCAGTTGCTACTGTTGAGCCAGGTACCATCTTCTATTCTCTACCTGTTTTTGTTGCCTAAATGTGAAACCTTTCCGTTCTTTACACTAAATTTCATTTTGTTCGATAGGCCCCAATGTTCAAGTGTGTCACGATCCCCCTGTAGCTTGAACCTTTCTTCAGGAGTGTTGGCCATTCCTGCCATCTTGGTGTCCCACCTTGTTCAACATTTCCACCTGTGGGATACTCTTCTGCTCGATGATAACTTTAACATTCTGAGATGTTTGTTTTTCTACTCTCCCAGATTTCACTCTCTTGACAGATGTATTGGGAAAAATGACCCAGTTCACAATGTCCAGATCAGCTGTAAGATCTCCTTTCTCATCCAAATATACCCCTTCTATGGAATTATTGTGAAACTGAGAGCTTTGAAGAAAGGAGTGAAGCTGGAAAGGAAAGGAAGAATTTAGAAAGGGCACCGACAGTTCTTTGAAAAGATCCATGGGTCTGAATATTTCTCTCTTTCAGTTCAAAACCAGGTTCTATTATCAGTTTCCCACTTGGTTAGGAGAGTATCAATAAGCACAGGAACAACAGCTGTAGATTAGTACTGTGATTGCAAAAGATAGGAGTTTCGACATCTGGTCATGTCCCATTTCCCACTGCTTTAACACAGCAGTGCTTGTGCACAGTGAGATGGGTAATATAAATAAACAACTCCTTTCAGAGCAAACAACTACTTCTTTTTTTCAGCTAAAATTATTAACCTTAAAAAAAAAATCAGCCATTCAGATTTTTCTTTAACTTTAGGAGTATTGTGTGATTTTTCTTTTTTGTTGTATCATTAATTGCCCAAGTGAGGTGGATCATATTTAACTTATCCTATCTTAGTATAACTGAGGATCTAAAGGTCCACAATATCTCTTTTCTTGCTAAAATCATTCCTTTCAGTGATTAGAGAACATTATCTGATTGTCTCCCATGATATAAAGTATAAATACGGGTTGGCTCCTTCTTAGTATAGCTGTCAACTTGTAAAGCATTCCTGGTCTGCTCTTGAGTTTCCATAGGTAGGAGAGGGGAGAACTGATGGAGAAGCTCAGATGTTATGACCAGAAGCACATTCCACACATACCTTTCTCCAGATTTTATCCCAGGTTACTAGGCAACCTGGAGAGGCATGTTTTCTACAGCCCGCAAAAGTGCTCCATTGGATAATGTAACACCCCAGGAGGAGGGGGAAATAGGGTCATAGGTGGGCAGTAAATTACATGGGGCAGAGCCGACTGCACTTGGGAAGTGCTGACATGTTGCTCCTAATAAATAATTGGATTTCTTTTGAAACTTGGCTCAAGGCTCATGAATTAATTAGGGCATCCGTTGGAACTCTGACAAAAGCTTTAATACTGCTTCAGTTAACTGATCAAAACTGCTGAAAGCAGAGAAGAACTCCCATGTACCATCATGCCATATGTACTAGAAGGAGCATGACAGTATATATGTTGTGTATGCTGCTTTCTACATGAATGCTTCTTCTTGTAAATTGCTCTCAGTCTTTGGAAACCTCTAACATTTTGGCTGTTTTTCTTTTTCTGTGCTTCCTTATAATGGACCACTGCATAAAGTGAATTGTTTGCCTTCCTTTTGTACAATACATTGAGAAAAAGATTAAATTATCACAGACAGGGGATTTTTTAAAAAATGCATCGCCCAGCATAGGAATGACAAATATTCCTTGTGCTGGCTCTCCAAACTGCCACTGCTCAATATTTGACCACTTTGTTCATCATTAGCATCAAATTCTAATTAATTGTTAACAAACATGCTTCAACCAGCTAAACTTCCCAGCCCAGTGAAGATTGGCCATGTGCTGCCACTTGCTTAGACCTGCCAATCCTACTCTCTCCAACCCTACTGAAATATGAGAACTTTGGAAAAAGAATAAAGTTGCTGATAGCCAAGGAAAGGAGAGAGGCTCCAGGTAAAGGAAGTCATTGAATGGCAGGGAAGCCTATTGATAGGAATTGCTGGGCAGAAGTATTAGGATTGTCCAGCCTATTGGATGGATTGAATGGAGTTCTCTGAGATACAGGAGAGAGAAATGCCAAGAAAAGAGGCCTGAACACAGTATAATATTTTGGCCAATGAAATGGCCAAATGAAATAGAAGCCCTCGAAAGTTGTGGGAGCATCATCACTTGAGACTTTCAAGAAGAGATTGGATTGCCATTTGCCAGAAATGGTGTAGAGTCTCCTGCTTGGGCAGGGGGTTGGAATAGATGACCTACAAGGTCCCTTCCAACTCTGATTATCTGTTATCTGAAGCATTACTGAACAACTCAGAGGTTGAAGTATTTATTATGACAACAATTAAAAGCAGAAATATTGCAAAAACAACGATAAAAGGAAATGAAAATGAGAAGAAGTGAATGGAAAGTTGGACTTAGGTTAAATTTGAATTTTAGGATAATTTAATTTAAAACGTAACTAAAGCATCCCCTTAACAAACAGATTCCCACCTGCAGAGGAAACATGTCTGATGGAAAAGAAAAATACCTGCCAAGCCTTTAGCTTTGGAACTTTGACCTTCATATCTCTGTTCATTACTGTTCTCTTGAATAAGGATATATAAGCTGAATTTAAGATCCTTCCCACAGCCCAAATGGTGTTGTAAATGAGATAGCTATCCAGAGCCAGGACTCGATCAATCTCCTCTTTCCTCAGAGCCATCAGGTCTTCTCTCTGTCTGCATCGCCTCCAAATGTTCACTGAAATGTCATCCTTCATGGATGAACATGTAAAGGTCTTCTTCATAAAGTTACTTAGAGATGAATGAAAGAGATGTAAAGCATCATAATTTGCCCATTTCCTTTTCCGTATCAGAAAGGAAAAAATGGCACTGAAATATTTTAAGGAGAAGTTATTATACATCAATTCAGGACTCAGATCCCAGTGAGCTGCGGTGATCCAGACTTTTCCTGCAATAGGTTCTTGAATTCTTTGAAATGCTTTTTGTGCAATCATCATTCCTACATGGAATGAACTAGTCTCTGAACCATAAACAAAGACGTTGACATGTCTCCACTTGAAATATTCTTCAAGTATAAAAATTATATTAAGCACATTTAATGGAAAGGTTTTATGTATAACTGCACAAATGCCATTCCTTAACATCAAAGAAGACATTATCCTCATGAACCTCTCCCCCTGGTCAGTTTCTGGAGCAATCAGACCAACCAAGGTCCACTTGAAATGGAGGAGCAGCTTGACCATTCCTGGGTACTGGACACCTTCAGCAGGTAGCATTGGATTGAAGAAAGGAAACAGAATTTTATCTCTCAGGATCTTAGAAGCAAAACTGTAGCTGATCTGAAAGGAATGGAAGATGATGGTAGTTTAAATTTAACAAGCAAAACAGAATTTCTCTCATTTCCATTATACAACTCTGCTTTCCATTTGTGGCATGACTGAAAACTGTCTTCCCAAAAAGACACACCTGTGGAATTTTGTAGGTGCCCAACATGGTTGAGATCTGGATGGAAATGCCCGTCTCAGCTTCTTCCAACACAACCACTGTGTTTCTTTGCCTTCCGCACCTGTAGTTGGGAACATTGGCCTCTCCGTCTGAAAGCAAATCCAGCAAAGCATTTGGCGTCATTTCTACCTTGAAAAAATTTTCATAGATATTATAACCCAGGGTGATGTTGGGTAAGAGATGGCCATTCTGGTTGATGTCCTCGGTTGCAAAAAGGAAGGGCAGAAATTTCCAAAAACGTTTTCTTCCACGTCTGCAGGTATTAACATAATGATGAAAGTAACATTTAACTATCCTTCCACGATACTTTTAACCTATTCAACCACCATTATTCCTCCAAACTGTTTGCAATGTTCCAAACTATTACCATAGAAAAAGAATAAAAATAATTTTAAAAAATGCATCATACCTTATTTCACAGGCCCTCTCACAGTTGGTTACTATTTCAAATTCATGCCTTGGTCTTCAAGGTTTTATTGCATATTTGAGGGTGGTTGCCTAAATCTTAACGTGTGTGAATGATATGCCCATATAGCTAAAAGAAAGTATTGATTAGTAGCTCTTGTATATTCTAGATATTACAAGTATTCTTTGAATTTTTCCAGGAGTTTCACTGAAAAAAGATTCCTGCATGAATGACATTTAGAAGCTTTGAAAGACCAGGTTATTTTTCCTAACTCTGAGGCAGAGTAAAGCTTGAACCTCAGATGGATGGAACTTTGTTGGTGTTTATGTTTTATTGGGGACGGTGCATGATTTCCCCCTGTTTTCTATTTTTTAATATACTTTTAATTGTAAGCCACCCAGAGTCAAACAGCTTATGAATAGAAAGAAGGCAGGCAGGCAGGCAGGAAGAAATTTTGGACCTGGACAGCCTAGAACTATGCCACCTATGGTCTGATTTAAGCTTAGTACACAAAATTGTCTGCTTTAACATCCTACCTGTCAATAACTACTTCAGCTTCAACCACAATAATAAACGGGCAAACAATAGATACAAACTCAAAGTAAATTGCTCCAAACTTGATTGCAGAAAATACGACTTCAGCAACAGAGTGGTCCATGCCTGGAATGCCCTACCTGTTGTTATATCCTCAACCCCCCAAAACTTTTAACCTCAAACTGTCTACCATGGACCTCACCCTATTCCTAAGAGGTCTGTAAGGGGTGTGCATAAGCGCACCAGTGTGCCTACCATCCCTGTCCTACTGTTCCCATTTATTCATAATCATTTATTATGTATATACTTATATGTTTATACTTATATGTTTATATGTTATCTTTATACTTATACTTGTTTTCTCATACATGCTTGACAAAATAAAATAAATAAATAAAGGAAGGAAGGAAACAACCAAGCAACCAATTAATATAACAGAGATAATAATTTCATTTAAAGATTTTTAGGACCTTGACATGAACTTGAAGGCAGATAGCAGATAATCAGAGTTGGAAGGGACCTTGTAGGTCATCTAGTCCAACCCCCTGCCCAAGCGGGAGACCCTACACCATTTCTGGCAAATGGCAGTCCAATCTCTTCTTGAAAGTCTCAAGTGATGGCACTCCCACAACTTCCGAGGGCAACTTCTGTTCCATTGGTTGATTGTTCTCTCTGTCAGAAAGTTTCTCCTTATTTTCAGGTTAAATCTCTCCCTGTTCAGTTTCCATCCATTGTTCCTTGTCTGGCCTACAGGCGCTTTAGAAAATAGCTTATGTTCTATGCAGAAAAAAAAATAGCAGCATCAGTTGGTTCCTCTGTGTCTACATTCTAGATCTGGCCATAGGATGGGAAGGAAAATGGAGGGAGGGCAAACATTGATTGAGTTCTGACACTTGACAGCTCAAAGTGAGCTTTGTCGTTTGCAGTTTGCAACTGGGACCCAAAGGTAGAATCAAAGTAAGTTAGAAAAAAATAACAGATCAAGGGGTTAATGGAGTGGCTGTAATGCTATGCAGGAAAGATTGACTTACGAAGAGAATTTTCTTGAAGGGCTTCCACTGAAGCTTAATGAATGAAACGTAGCCTTTGTGGTAGAGATTATGCCACTAATGGAATAATCTCCTGGCTTGTAATGATTATTTGGGTTCACTTTACCCTGCTCCAGAGTCAGGAGGCATTTGGCTTTGCGCATCCCACTGTCTGTCTGTGGCCACTGAAGCAGCAGAAGGAGGAGCACCAGCAACATGACGTGAGCCTTTTCTGGGGCATCTGCTTTTTAGCAAAGAATGAGAAGAAGAGGTGGAAGAAACCAAATCCTGCAAAAGAGAAGCTTCAGATCCAGGCAGGGTCCAGTCAAGGAATGGAAACACAGGTCCTGCTTGTCTTGAAACTACCCTCAGATGTCTCCAAAGCTATGTATGCATCCAGCTTTTGACCAAGATTCCATCTTACATTGTTTCTAAATCTGATATTTTCATCAAAACATATTCCAACGTGTTATTGTTAAATTTTCTGAAAGTTTACTCTCTAGGGTACTAACAGAAGGACGAAAAGAAATCACTATGATTTGGATAATTGCAAGTAAGAGCAAAGTAACCTCTCTGCACTCTGGTATCCAAAGGGAGAACTAACAGATGTAGCTTAAAACTTTGAAGGAGAGACTGGAAAAAATTGCCCCACAAGTATTCAGTAACACACTTTTAAAAAATCCAAGATTCAGAAAGATATTTATTTATATTTATTTATTTTTGTCAATTGCTTACAAGATAATAGGTATAAGTAGAAACATAGTTATGAATAAATGGATACACATAAGAAAAATAAAAGAAAAAGTATAAAAGAAACAATAGCACAGGGACAGTAGGCACGTTGGTGCGCTTATGCACGCCCCCAACAGACCTCTTAGGAAAGGGGTGAGGTCAATAGTAGACAGTCTAAGGTTAAAGTTTTTGGGGTTTGGGGAAAAAAACCACAGAGTCAGGTAGAGTATTCCAGACATTGACCACTCTGTTGCTGAAGTCGTATTTCCTGCAATCAAGTTTGATGCGATTAACCTTTGTATCTATTGTTTGCTCTTGCGTTGTTATGGTTGAAGCTGAAGTATTCATTGACAGTGTATATGTGTACATTGACAATAAATACATTCATTGCAATGTATGATTTTAAATACTATACTTAGATCAGACCGAAGGTGGCGTAGTTCTAGGTTTTCTAGGTCTAGAATTTCGAGTCTGGTGTCATAAGGTATTCTGCAATGAGTAGAGGAGTAGAGAACTCTTCTTGTGAAATATTTCTGGACTTTTTCAACTGTGTTAATATCAGATACGTAATATGGGTTCCAGACTGATGAGCTGTATTCGAGTATTGGTCTAGCAAATGTTTTGTATGCTCTAGTTATTAGTGTAATATTACCAGAGAAAAAGCTACATAAGATTAGGATAACAACTCTTAATGCCTTTTTGGCTATGTAGTTACAGTGGGCTCTAGCACTTAGGTCATTTGAGATGAGTACTCCAAGATCCTTGACAGAGTTTGGATCATCAACAAGGTCTTGAGTATTCAGCCTGTATTTTATTTTCTGATTTTTTTTGCCAATATGTAGGACAGAGCATTTATTTGTTGAGATTTGAAGTTGCCAATTGTTTAACCATTCTGATACATAGTCAAGGTTTTTTTTGAAGGGTAGCAGTATTCTCTGTGGTGTTGAATAGCTTTACATCATCAGTGAAGAGAATGCAGTTGCTCTTGATATGATCACAGAGGTCATTTATGTAGAGTATGAAAAGAGTTGGTCCTAGAACACTGCCTTGGGGGACACCACTGTTGACAGGTACAGAATTTGATAGGGCGCTCCCAATTTTGGCCATTTGTTGTCTGTTTGACAGGAATGCTTCTATCCAGTTATGCAGGTGTCCAGAGATACCATAAGATTTTAGTTTTAGAAGTAGTTTGTCGTGGACCACTGAATCAAAGGCTTTACAGAAGTCTATGTAGATTGCGTCTATTGCTTTGCCCTGATATAATTGTGTAGTCCATATGTTTTTGCAGTATAAGAGTTGCAGATTACATGATAGTTTTTTCCTAAAACCAAATTGTTTATTAGAGAGTAGGTTGTTTGTTTCTAAGTGGAGGATGATGGATTGGTTAATAATTGATTCCATGACTTTACAGGTGACGCAGCATAAAGAGATTGGTCTGTAATTTTCAACTAGGCTGGGGTCTCCCTTTCTGAAGATGGGGATGACCGTGGCTTGTGACCATAGTTTTGGCAAGGAGCTGGTCCTGAAAGATTTTTCAAAGATTATGCTTAGAGGTTCGGCTATAGCACTGGGTAGATTTTTAAAGAAGTAGGCACATATTCTGTCCGGTCCAATAGATAGAGATAGTTTTAGATTGCACAGTGCTTTTTCAACAGTGTCTTCTGTAAAATCGATATGTATTAGATCATTGTAGTTGTCTGTGGTTCGACTAGGAAATACTGGGCATGGTCCATTGCTGTTTACAAACAATGAGCCAAAGAATGTGTTAAAGAGGTTGGCTTTAATAGTGTCGTCGTTGCAGTCTTTACCATTAGGTCCTTTCATGGGTGGGATGTTTATAAAATTGTAGAAAGTGTGGGTGGAATTGGTGCGTAGAAGGTTTTTTTCTTGTTTAATGTGATAATTGGAGCATTCAGTTTTTATCTGGTGGCATAAATTTTTGTATTGGCTTTTGAAGTTGGCAACGTGACCAGATTTGTTTTTCCATCAAAGTGATTTCTTTTTGTATAACAATAAGCTTCCTTATTGTTTTGGGTAATTTGTTTTTTCTGGTTTTGGGAGTTGTTAATGGTACATATAGTTTGATGACTCTTTTGACTTCAAGTAAAATATGTTGTAATGATCTTCTACAATATTGCATCCAGAGAATAGAAATTGCCAATCAAGGAATGAGAGATCGTTGTCTATAAGATCATAGTTGACTTTTTTTAAGTTATAATTGGGGATTCCGTCGTTGTGATGACTTTTGTGTGGACGTATGTTGAGACAAAAGTCAATCATGTTGTGGTCACTGTTGGAAAAGGGTTCTTTAATTTGTATTCTGTAAATTGAATTCAAGCTATTGCAGAAGATGAGATTGAGGCAGTTATTAAGTCTAGTGTTGTTGGTTACTAGTTGTTCTAGTCCCAGATTTGTTACTGCAAAGAAAGAGCAAGACAAGGGATTCTATGAAAGAAAATGATTCACAAAATGTAGTTTTTTCCTCAATGTATTTGACATTTCTCAAAGAGTGTTTCACTATGTTTACCATCTACGTAGATGGCAACATATATGGAACCTATAGGGAAACACCTGCCATGGTTGGATCTTTTCAATTTCCACCTTATCTTTCCCCTCCATCCTTGTTCTCTGGGATCGGGGTGAATTGACCACATTTAAGGCATGTGTCACAATCTGGATGGCGTTGGAAGTTAAGGAGCTATCTAGAGAGAAGGTCTTTTCAATCTTCTCTTGAGGTAGAGTCCCTATGTTCTTTTCCTCTATACACCTTGTCCAGCCTTTCACAGACAAGGCAAGCTTCCCATATGAACAGTGAATTTTTTTAGTCATAAATGCTTTGATAAAAAATAATAATAGAAATCTCTGAAGTCATCCGATTTGGTCCTTTGGCTGGTCTGAATAAGAAAAGAAAAAATGCTATGGGTGTATCTGAAAGAGAGAGTATTATATGATAATTCAATGGTGAGATCCCACAAGGCTATTGTGATCCACAGTTTCCCTTCAATAGGCTTTCTCAAGGAATTTAATATGTTTTCTAGGAAAAACGCTCCCTCTTTGAATGTAAACTCTGCATAATAAACAAATACATTGATTTGGGTCCACGTGTTGAAAACAGAAATCAGATAGTTGAGGTTTTCAGCTTTTAATAATATGATTTGTGAAAAAACAACACAGATGTCATTCTGAGCCAGCAAAGGATTGAAGGTCCTAATGAAATGTTCTCCATTATTGGTGTCTGCAGCAAAGACACCAATGAATGTCCATTGAAAATACAGCAGCAGTTTAATAACCCCCAGGTTCTGGGCATCTTCTTTGGGAATGGTCTGGTAGAAAAAGGGTAACTGTGTTTTATCACTCAGGATTGGTGAAATAAAAGTGTAGCTGATCTGGAGGGAGAAAAAAAAGGAGATTTATGTTTTATTTAGGATTTTTACAAAGCCCACCTAGGTAGATCTTGAAAAGATAACACCAGAGCTTAGATTGTGGCAGGAAGCCTACCTCGGTGGATTTAATAGGGACCATTTTTATTAGGAGTAATAACAGAAGGGCAGGGGTGGGATTCAAATTTTTTAACAATCGGTTCTGTGGGTGTGGCTTAGTTGGTGGGCATGGCTTGGTGGTCATGTGACTGGTTTGGTGTGGCCAACTCAATATCACTCACATTGAGACACGCATCTCCTCGCTGGCCTCTCATGACTGTGGGGATGCTGCAACAGTCGTAAGTGTGAAAAAGGGTCATAAATCACTTTTTTCAGTGCCATTGTAACTTTGAATGGTCACTCCACACAAGCAAAGTACCAGCAAAGGAGGGGAAAAAACCTCCAGAGAAGTTCCTGAGACAGGAAGTCTAGTCCTGCCAAGAATGTAATAAGGGTTAATAGAGAGGCAGTTTCTGTAAGCAACACCAGAATGTTTCCTTCCTGCCTTCCTTACAGGATTAGGCCAGTAATTTCTTCTAACAACCGGTTCTCCGAACTGCTTAGAATGTTAACAACCGGTTCTAGCGAATAGGTGTGAACCTGTAGAATACCGACCCCTGCAGAAGGGTATAGCAAAGGCTCAACATATCTCATACTCCACATCCTGACAGTGGCGAGAATGGTTTATGCCCAGCTATGGAAGAATGAAAGTATTCCATCAGAAAGAGAGATAATAAGAAAAATACTGGTTTGTGCAGAATTAAATCGATTAACTCTAGAACTGAAAAACAAAGGGGAAACAGAATACCATGATACTTGGAATAAATTTTACCAATGGCTGGAAGCGAGAGGTGGAAGTTGGAACATAACATAATTAAGATAAACTGACCTAGAATGTGACACTATAGAGGATCTAAAAGAGCAGGCTGGTCAAAAGAATTGCAACAAAATCAATATTGTATAGATAATATGTATATTAGTTGTTTAGCTTTATTCTGGTATGTATGGTGGAGGAATGCCAGGATGGTCGCTCTGTGTTGGATATCTATATTTGTAAACAATAAAAT